TAGTGATTAAGTTGCTCTGGCCTTGTATTGTTAATACCAAATGAGAGTTTTATCGCGTCTAGGGAGTGGAATAAATACATCCACTATGACATCAGCTGCAGCTGTAACAGGTTGGATGGTCTAAGTGTGTAGTAAGTGTGTGGGTGTTCACAGGTGTTCACAGGTGTGAAATATTTCACACATTTCAGAAATTGTCTTCAGGCTCATGCTGTGGTACTTGACCTACTTTTCTTCATTAAACATCTCGTTAGTAAAGGCCTGATAGACTTGAATAGAAATCCTGACCCTGTGAATAAAATATGGTTATTATTACCTGTGGATTGTAATGGTTTTATTTATATCATACCTTTGAGAAACGTGTCTGTTTCTGAAAACATTAACATATCTTTGAATCCTTTAATGTACTTAGTGGTTGGTTTAAAGACTCGCTGATCTTAAATTTCACAAATTTGGACTATAATTGAGATTATCAGAAAATTTGTTTTTAATTCCTGCTGTTTATGTTAATATATGGCACAAGATGAAATATTAATACAGTAAACTACGGTTATAACAAACACACTTATAACGAACTGACTGATATAACAAACCTATTTTTTAATCCCGGACATATGTGTATAAGCTGTATATATGCTTATAATGAACTACTGTTATAACGAACTAAAATTAGTGGTCCCTTTGAGTTTGTTATAACCGTAGTTTACTGTAGTGTTGAAGGCATGGACTGATCTCAGAGTCCCATAGTGTTTATGGCTTAGAAGTGAACGTGTGTGTAATAATATCATTACTATTGCTTACAGGAGTTGACATGGGAGATATCTTGGCTCCAAAATGTAGTGGGGTGGTCGGGTAGCCAAATGGTTAAAGCGTTCGCTAGCTGAAGACCCAGGTTCGATTCCCAACATGTGTGAAGCCCATTTCTGGTGTCCCCCACCGTGATATTGCTGGAATTTTGCTAAAAGCCGCGTAAAACCTCACTCACTCACTCACTCACTCACTCACTCACTCACTCACTCACTCACTCACTCACTCACTCACTCACTCACTCACTCACTCACTCACTCACTCACTCACTCACTCACTGTAGTTGTAGTCTGTCTCCCAGTCCTGAGAGAATAGATTGAAAAAGGAGTCCAACCTCAACTCTAGAATGATTTGATGATTTGGCAAGTCTAGACTGCCTCAGCTCTAGGCTGAAATTAAGGATTCTGGTGGGGTTCATTGGATTGTATTTGTTTATTTTGTAGAAATGTATTCTTAAATGATATTTCTTTTTTCTGGAACTAAATGTCAGTCTACTTAAGTAGTTTAAACCAATGACCAATGCCAATTTCTGGTGTCCCCTGCCATGATATTGCTGGAATATTTCTAAAAGTGGTGTAAAACCATACTCACTCACTCACACTCACTTCATGCATCATGAATTTTTCCAATGGATGATACCTTATCACATCTGAAATTGTGCCAGATTTCCAGAACTTTGAAATACACATCTTTTCATACTTTTAACATTATGCAACACTTTATCTCTTCTTGTCGGAGAAAAAGCAAGCCTTTGACAAAAAAATTGCAACACTTGGCAAAACATGCCACTCTCATAGATAGGTCGTTTTTGACTGAAAATGACATTCCTGCACGCTTTTCGTTGATAGCAATTTTACAAGATGCTTTGTGGATATAACCAGTTAGTTTTTGTGTAACAGTTTGACAAGTCCCGATTCCCAGTACATCTTATTGTTTTACAATAGTAAAATAACAACTAAATTTGAATGAAATGATGGACTGAATGACATTCATATTCCTTCTCTGACGACTGAAGGTTTGTGTAACATTGTCAACAAAGGTACTCTGATCCGTGTGAATGGTGGTTAACAGAGTTGATGCAATCTGCCGATTGGTTTAAACCATTTACAGATAATAATATTCACTATATTGAATAATGCCAATGAAATATATTATTAATATTAATACACATATACACTGTTCACTATTTAATGTGATTTATTGTTTGTTTGTTGTTTAACGCCACACTCAATTGGGATACGATGACATACATCAACCAAGTCAGCGAGCCTGACTAGCCAATCCCATTAGTCACCTCTTACGACAAGCATAGTCGCCTTTTTAGGCATGCATGGGTTGCCCATTTCTGGTGACCCCCGTTGGATATTGTTTTCGATTATTGCTAAAAGTGGCATAAAACCAAACTCACTCACTCACTCACTCACTCACTCACTCACTCACTCACTCACTCACTCACTCACTCACTCACTCACGGGGCGGTCGGGTAGCTTAGTGGTTAAAGCGTACACTCCTCACGCCGAAGACCCGGGTTCGATTCCCGACATGGGTACAATGTGTGAAGCCCATTTGTGGTGTCCCCCGCCATGATATTGCTGGAATATTGCTAAAAGCGGCGTAAAACCATACTCACTCACTCACTCACTCACTCACTCACTCACTCACTCACTCACTCACTCACCCCTTCTACATATATATGGTATTGTGATCACATGATTGTTTGCCTATGTTTTTCGTCTTGATAATTGTCATGTGAGAAGTCTTTGAAGTCCACTTTAAGAGCGAGGATGGGGAACAGTTTCTGATTACGTTAATTCTTACGACCAAGATTTACCCTGCTATCAGGTGGTTGTGGTTCTGGGTAAATACTGGTAGCATAACTTCATGTACTCTGGTTTCTGTAGCAGATGAAGATAGTTGTGAGGAAACCAGCAGGGTGTGCAGTAAAGCAGATTTGTTGACAGGAAGACAGTATCTGGTTGAGTTACATGTCTGGTGTTATCAGAGCACAGGAAAGGAACGCCATTGATAGTCGGATATGCTGCTGTGTTGGCAAGTTTAACAGCCATGTTGGCGTGCGGATTGGTGTGCTTCGGAAATAAATTTTTATGATTTTGGAGAAAACATTGAAAAAATACCCAAAGCATAAGTGAAATGGTCTGATCCGTGACTTGAATTATTTCAAATTGTCCACTCAAAAAAGCAAAAATTTAAGAAATGTTAGGAACATATCGTAAGACTTAAATGTGAAGCAACATGTAGGCTAGCAAAAAATGGATGTCAGATATGTTTGGATGAAATGATGGGGAATTTGTCTGATGAAAGGTGACGCATGCAGTGTGACATCTTTTTGCCTTTGTGCTCATTTTGAGTATGTGTGACAAGTTTCAGTCACCTTTTACTGTTTTGTGATATATACTACTAAAAACAAGTTAAGGGCCACCCGATTCTTTCATGTTACTATAGTTAATATGTCCTGGCAAGTTACTATAGTTAATATGTCCTGGCAAGTTACTATAGTTAATATGTCCTGGCAAGTAACTATAGTTAATATGTCCTGGCAAGCCACTAATTTATCCTGGGTTCTGCAGAACAAGCTGAGCCCATTACATCCGTGATTCAAGTTTGTAAAACAACTGTTGTTAAGCAGAGCTCTAGATAACTTTTTGAGCAATTGAGTTTTTACTCTAGGGTTTCTATTTTAATTGGGTTATAACATTTTTCATTGGGTAAGCAATATTTTTTCACTCATCTATTTGTCACTCTATCAAATTAGTGAACATTTTAAGATTTTAAGATAAAAAAATTAAATAATGTTTTAGATATATATAACTGTTCTAAATATATAGGCTTGCCTCGGGAAGCAAATTAGCTGGTAATTGTGTCATGGAAGTTAGCTCCTTTGTACGCATGCTGAAAAAGCTTCATTGTGTATTTACACGTTGTTTTTATACATTTGAGCTTTTCATTTAATGCATGCGTTTCTGTATGCAAGGTAATTGAAGGTAAATGGGTTTTGAAAATTTTGGGGGGAATTTAACGCAAATATGCTGCTTATCTGTAGCTCTGTGTTAAGTCCAAACAAGTCATCTAACGAGAATGATAACTTGATATGGTAATACACAGTATAACAGGTACACTGGTATATGACAGTACGATTTTCAAACAATGCATATTGCACTATTTTTCCATTTCCTGTATTTGGTAAAAAATATCAAACAAGTTTCATTATTATTTGTACTTTTTAACCTAAACTCAACATAGCTATTTCTTCAAAATGACAAAATGGCGGAAACAAGGAAGGGATTTTCCCCCTCATTGCTATCTCCCCTGTATCCATGACTACAAAATGGCGGTGACTATAGCTCCCAATATGTCTAATACATATTGCTACCCGTGAAGATCGGCATTAGTATAGGTCTTCACCAACCCATGCTTGACATAAAAGGCGACTATACTTGTTGTAAGAGGCAACTAACATGATCGGGTGGTCAGACTCGCTGACTTGGTTGGTGCATGTCATCATATATCATTACGTGAATCGATGCTCATGATGTCAATCACTGGATAGTCTGGTCCATACTTGATAATTTACAGACTGCTGCCATGTAGCTGGAATATTGCGGAGTGCAGTGTTTAACAACAAACACCAAAAATAAACTATTATGTATTGCAAAACAGATATCTGTGTAACAATGTTTTGCAATACAGTTTTTTGGCCAATACACAGCCATGTAACCTATAATACATTGGGGGGCGGTCGGGTAGCCTAGTGGTTAAAGCGTTGGCTCGTCACGCCGAAGACCCGGGTTCGATTCCCAACATGGGTACAATGTGTGAAGCCCATTTCTGGTGTCCCCCGCCATGATATTGCTGGAATATTGCTAAAAGCGGCGTAAAACCATACTCACTCACTATAATACATTGGTTTCATTATGTTGTGACTGCTTTCTTTGTTGTGTTGCAGTTCAATAGTTCATGTTCTGTTGTGTATTGACTGTAGAAGTCATTGACCTCACCACAACCCTTGAGCTTGCTGTCTGCCTCAGAAAACAGGTTGAGCAGATAGTGGCCCTGTTAGAACCGTCAATAATCATAATGATAATTATTTGAACCTGCCCTTGACTTTCATCATCATAATCATAATGTTTGTCTGCTGGCTTGTGTCCCATTTCACCATTTTGTCTATCTCATTTCAGGGAGAATTATGGTCGTGACGATCTACTCCAAAGTCACATGATCGAGTCATGTGATCACCTCAACAGTGTGCAAGAAACCCCACAAGATGGCCGACTTGGAGCTGAAGTCAAAGTTTTGGAGTTTGGAAATTCACCGAAGAGTGTATTTTGTGTTGTTGCAAGTGTGAACATATTTAACAGACCTGTTTTGTGGCAATATTGACAGTGATTACTTCCCATGATGTATAAGCCAGATGTCATGTGTTGCTATGGATACAAAGATTGTTGCCCCGGGTTATGGCCTCAGTTACCATGGAAACAAGAACGGAACCATGGAACCTACCCATTGTTATTCTCCATGAGGGTTAACCAATTTCCATTCATTAATATTCCAATGATATTCATTATCACGTCACAACATGTCTGACTGTTTTCTAGGAATACGTAGTCGCCATCACCATGTAGCTTTGTACATGCCTGATGGCTTAGGGAGCATGGAGTGTCACGTATACATCTAGTTAACATTTACCTTCATTTGTACCATTGCCATGGAAACGTATATTCATTGATAAACATAGTAAATATAGAAATGTTCCTTCTTTCACATGGTGGGGGCATGGGTGGACCAGTCGTCTGAGGCACCACAATTCGCTGTGCAGAATTGTCCCTTGGGCCTGATAGAGAACTATGGGTTCTTGTTGGTTAAAAACCCGGTTCACTCCAAATGTGCTTCTAGGTTTGTCATCACCATACTTGAGCTTGTGGGTTTCCCCAAAGTGACATACGTCTGTGACCTCCATCACTTTGGGCTTTCGTCCCACAGCTGACGCGCCGTGGTGTACTTTTTCAAAGTGGTGTTAAACCCAACTCACTCAGTCAAATGGTGTATAAGTTTTCAAGATAGGATCAACGATACTAATGGGTGTTAGTACTGTTCCAAGCTTTAATCTGTATTGATACACCTCTCTCCATAAGTTTTGTCATGTTTATTTGGGCTGCAATAGGTTAATTATTACATTCTATTCCAAAATTACAACTGTGCTGCAAGAAGCCACTATGTTACTTATATTTTAGGTTTTTTAATCATCAAAAACATCTGTGTCTATTTCTGTTGACAGATGTCATTTACATTAAGCGTGGATGTTCTGTAGGATTACATATTCGGGTATTTTGTGGGTGGGGTAGCCTAGTGGCAAACTCATTTACTTGTCACACCAAAGACAGGGTTCGATTCCCCACATGGGTACAATGTGTGAAGCTCATTTCTGGTGTCCCCTGCCGTGATACGGCATGAATATTGCTATTAGTGACATAAAAACATACTCACTCACTCACTCAGGGTATTTCAGTAAGGAAACATACCGCGATGGTCGTCATCTGTAGGTACATGTGTACTTGGGGACAATAAGATAATATGAATTACGTTGTTTTGTTGTGAGGTGAGCAGGGGTGAAAATCTACTAGTTAATTTATTATGGCCCTATCTGCAGATCATATGGTTTTCCCGCTGGTACTCATCAACCCTTCAGCTGTGGCTTACATGGTGAAACCTCGATAGTGAGGACCTTGTTACTTTGGCAACCCCGATTTTCACCAAGACAAATTAAGCAGTATGCCAGGTACCTAGAGGAGTGGGGTTGGCACCCTCAACAGTGCTGTCTGTAATATCAAGGTTTCACTGTATGGGGAGTACATAATTCAGGTTGAGAATGCACTCATGTACTCATTTACTGATGTATTGATGTACTGATGTACTTATGTATTGTACTGATGTATTGATTTACTGATGTATTGATATACTGATGTATTGATGTACTCATGTATTGATTTACTGATGTACTGATATACTGTTGTATTGATGCATTGATGTACTGATGTATTGAAGTATTGATGTACTGATGTATTAATGTACTGATGTACTGATGTACTGATATATTGATTTGCTGATTTACTGATGTATTGATTTACTGATGTATTGATGTACTGATGTATTGATTTACTGATGTACTCATGTATTGATGTACTCATGTATTGATGTACTAATGTACTCATGTATTGATGTACTAATGTACTCATGTATTGATGTACTGATGTACTCATGTATTGTGTTCCCATCATAGACATGAACATGAAACCTGTATTTGAAAATAATATTTTGTTATCCGTGGTTATCCATTATTGTGCAAACATTATGAACAAATATGATTACACATACCATATCATTGTCACAATATGTAGATACAGAATTGACAAAAAGTAAAACCTGTCATGTTTACGAGCTGTTCCATCTTTAAGGACCCAAGCCATACAGATCTGGTTTAGTTGGAATAAGTTTATCACCTCTGATCCTATACACCGGTAAATAACATTTACATTTTTCTTAAAACGTAGCATTCATGACCCTATTATATGATAAGTGTAACATGGTACAAAGTGGCACATCAGTACCTGAGTGAATGGTTACCATGGTTACAGATATATCCCACTCATATTCATTTGGTTAATTAAATGACATTTATCACAGAGAATGTCTAAGAAAAGTTTGACCTGACTCCTGTCCTTGGGGCAGGGTCTGAGTGTATACTTCTCATTTTTTTATAGGAATAATCAGATAATGGCATTCAATTTAAAAATATACTTGACTTAATTATGGAATGGGTTTTCTGTATAGTAGAAGGACAAAAGTATCTCTATCGAAAAGTGGAGTAGAATTGTATTGGAGGAGATTGTGTTTGTAAACTGACACTAGACTCCATGGCCACGGGGTTGTGTTTAGATGAGCACTGTGTTGTGTAGTTGTGGTGGCTCTGACAGTCATTCAACAGCAGTGGAAGAACATTTAGAACATGGCAGCAGATGGACACTACTGGTTGACAATAGGGCTGGAAGGTAACTCGGGTACTCGGGTTGGGTGGGTACTGACTTGGACCTGGGTATTCCGGTGGGTACCCAGGTCCTAGTCAGTACTGACCCGACCTGACCCGACCTGACCCGACCCGACCTGACCTCACCCGACCCGTGATTAGTCACGGGATTATATTGTATATTGGCCAAAATTGTCTAGAACTCTATAGTTACACTGTAAGTGACAAATGTTCACATTTCTTTCTGACTATGCACAGATTCCCTCTCACTTTATATGTTTGCATAAGGTAAAACTTCAATTTATCTGTAAATCTGTATTTAACATGTTAAAAATTTCCTCAGAATTTACGAAAATATGAACTGTAATAAAATCAAATTTTGGAATCTCAGATAAATCTGTGAGTTAAGCCACATGCAGTCCAAGTCGAGTAAAACATGGTATTGTAGATAAGCAGGTAGTGATCACAGGTATAACAGTAATGTAAAACAACTTCCTGTATGCACAAGGCTGTCAAACAGATAGACAGATACTGTCCCTCAAAAAAATCCCCCCGAAATCCAACAGATAGGCAATTAACAGTCCAACAGATAGGCAAATAACAGTCCGTCACATAAGCAGAAGTTAGTCCAACAGATAGGCAAATAACAGTCATTCACATAAGCAGAAGTTAGTCCAACAGATTAATTAATTGGCCATCAGATAAGCAAGAGTTTGTCCCACAGATAGGCAAATAACAGTCCATCAAATAGCAAACGTATCCAGCAGATAGACAAACTGACATGATCACCAGTATTAAGCAGATATTATGACAAAACTTGAAACATTATGCAGACTGCCAGAAACAGATGAGCAGGATAGATAAGCAGTGAGAAGCTTAACAGACCTTGTGCACTGCTCTGATAAGTCCTGCTACACCCTTGAGTAAGCAAAGCAGGATAAGCAGAGGCAATGTAATTCATAAGGAAGTCGCCATGGCAATTGCTTCGCAGGTGCCTGTTTGTGTTGAATGACTGTCAGGGGTAGCCAATATGAACATTAATACCTTGAAATGTGTTTCATTGTGTGCTGGGTTTGAAATATCTCTAACGCTGAAATGGTCAGAACGTCTTACTGTGCCACCCACAGAGTAGATCCTAACACTGACTACGTTTACCTATACATGGACAGGCCTAAGGATAGTTTGCAATTCTAGTGTTACAATTTGGAATTGATTGAACACCGATTTGTTGTTCGAAAAGGGATTTGAAAATTTCAGAAATGTTGTGTATGTGTCGCTAATGTATACTGAACAAAAATAGTTAGGGATCATGAATATTTTTGGGGTATTTTTAAGAAATTGTGTGCTCAGTCACTGCAAAAAAAATATCCCCATAAATATTCATGATCCCTAACCTTTTTTGTTCAGTATAGGTAATTTAGGCTTTAGCTGGACACAGTACTACTGGATGATATTGTTCTGCCTCGCTATGGGTTAAGTCTTAACACTGATTGTACAGACACCAACCCCCAACCCCCAACCACTACCCCCACCCCCACCCCCACCCCCACCTTGTGTCAATACCCCTTGCCACCTGTACACACTTGTATATAGTCCAAGCATCAGTCAACTAATAATCTACCAAAATCAGCAGTGCCAAAGTATTTTATATTTTTCTTTTCTTAAATTCAATTTTTTCATTATGTCATTTAGTTTGAAACTTAAGTTGAAAGCTAAGCAAATTTTATGGGTTTATGAAATTGGTTTTCCGCATATTTGCTTTGACTTGAGTGCATCATGGCGTATATTAAAATAATTTCGGGGTGGTGAGACTGAATGGGAGTTATAACATCCACATCAGTGAGGTTATTCATCAGCAAGTTCATATTTAGAGTTATTGAATCCCTTCTCAAGTTTGCTATGCTCTGCAACGTAACCACATATAAAGGTTTATTTTAGGCCACAATTCATAAAAAAGGAACCAATTATTGTAAAAATTAAAATGTGTCAAAATTGATGTTTAGTTGGATAATTAAGACAAGGAGTCTTTGTTGAAGTCAACTTTATTATATATACTCCTTCACATTTCATTGTGCCTTATGTCTGAAAAGCATCCTAGTGCATGATACACAAGTGAGATATGACACGTATGCATGAGACACAGGTGAGATAAGACACGTAATGCACATATTTGTGTCATGTGTCACATATGTAGCATGTATTTCTAGCAGTGTTTTAAATAATTTCTGCAGCCCGACAGAAACGTCACCACCACAGGAAGGCGGGCAGGCAGTTATTTCACACACTAATCACTGGACGCATAAATGATCTCTGTACAACAGAAGACAGGTCAAAATATTACATCCCTTCAAATATTAAAACGTTTTTCAGTTGTATTATAAAGTTAATTTTGTTAACAGATATAGAAAGGAAAAAAGACAACATAATGCCAAGCCGGGATGTATCTAGGCTCTCTCAGCCAATGTTGGATCAACATAAATGGTGGAGAAAGTTTCAAATTGGAATTAAAGATATCCCATTTCACATTATAAATGTTGACGTAATATAAGTAGCTTCGTCTATGTGACTTTTCTTGGCATTATAGCTTTGAAAACAATGTGAGAGCACCTAAGTTACTAAAATATAGGAAACTTACTACAAATGCCTATTTGGCTCCTCAAAAATGTTTTTGGCCAATTTGCCTGCCAGGGGGTTTAAGATTCCACATTAATCCCTGCTGGCATACTTCAGGATACTAATTGTATAACCACTAGGGATGGGTATTGGAGGCTTAAAGTGTATCACAATATTTTGCAATACAAAAGGCCGTATTGGGATACGTATCACGATATATTGTATAATTCTAAATTTTCAATTCAGAAGCAATCTGATACATTAAGGTGTGAACTGAAGTTCATAAATGGAACAAAACAAGATGCTGGTACAACATAATGTTTACTCAGTCAATAAATACGCAGCCATCTTGGGGCCCCGCATGCTTGCTAAACACATTAAACACATGATAAAAATCCCAATTTGAAATATCCTGATATATCGAGCATGAAAAAAATGATATTGTGATACGTGTCGTGGAAAGAATGAACCTCAATTTCCTGATATTCCGGTAATACCTCACGCCCTTGGTAACCAGGGAATGTTTTGTGTAGTATAAGGGAAGTATTTTGTCAACTCAACATTCCTTGAACCAAGTCTGAAACAGTTGATGTTTTTTTCCTTCAAAATATTATCAACAATGTTAAGCCCATTCCTTATGTTTTTTGTCCCTGTTACTTTTTCAGTCTGTCTCTATCCTCCTCTTCTGTACAAGGCAAGGGCAGATAACTCTAAATGCATTTAGTGACTAATGTTATGATGGGATCCTAATGCTGATTCTCAGTACCTCTCTGAATCGAAAATATGCAAGTCATTTATGATTTGGGAGGATGCGATTGACTGTAACCTACATGAAGATAATGTCCCTTAGATTTCATGGCAAGTCACCAGAGATGGAAAGAGGGGTCGGTTACACCATGATAACTTGGGGCTCTGATGTGCTTTGCCCTCGAATTCAAATATCACTTAGTCTAACAATATACGGTACACAGAAAATCACAATAGTAACAATTCAGATGTAGCTTTTACTAATTTTATATATTTTTGGGTGAGGAAAAACCACTAGTCCTTGAGATTGTGTTTCCGATGTATCTCTGGATGGTGGACTAGTGGTGGATTTTATAGCATTTACTTGTATCAGTAAGATTGGTTTGTGTCACAGACTTGAACAGAAGAGTTGGTCACAATGTTTCAGTTGATTTCATGTAAGTAGACGTATTGTTCAATTTGAAAACAAAAAGTAAAATGGCAATGATGTCTGAATTACTTGATATTAGGGAGACTACTTACAGTGTCTCAAACATTGTCCCGTTGTATGCCATAGCTCTGTGTGTCTTCACAAACTGTCTGTGTTGATGATCAGTTCATAGAACCAACTCGGAAAGGGGTGAGACATTATTCGTACTCATATTTATTTTCACTTCATACTATTCTGTAGTTTATTTGTTTGTTTTGTCTAATCAGTCAGTCGCTGTGATGCTATTGTATGTAGTCCCGAAGTTATGATAATCAGTTTATTTCTAGAAAACAAATATTTACAGCTGTATACTTGGTTCAAATATGGTCTCATCATATCTTGGTTTCTCCCAGTCTATAACCACATGATCACATGATCAATCACATGATCTGTCACATGATCTATCACATGATCTATCACATGATCTATCACATGACTTTCTCGTAACCAAGTGATAAATATGTTTACTATGGGATAAATATTATTTTTATTTCATATCCCAAAAACTTGTTAGCAACAATTAGGAAGAAACGTTATCATTTCTTTTGACATTATGTCCAAGATTATTTTCTGGTGATTTGGAAGTTTTACCCAATTAAATTTCGTGTGATGTTAATGTGAGGTGGATTAAGAAATGTGGCACATTTGCCAAATTGTTTGCCAGATAAAACCAAGTACTCAAGATACAGATAGATTGATGTCATTGGTTAATTGACTTAAGCATCAGTTGGGCCTGACTTCCTTTGTTGTCCATTGTTTGCTAGAGATGATCTTGACACCAAACAATAAGCACAAAATCAAATACTCTTAGATTAGATTAGCGTATTCATATTTTCCAGCTGTTTTAATTTAATGGTCTGAATACAAATGTTCACATATTATGTGATTGTGATACTCTCAGTCATGCCCTGAGTAATTGACTTACTGTACATATATATATACAATAATGTGCTTTTTCTGATGACAGCTGATGTGATTGGATTGCATTTTGTAAAATGATTATATAAATAGTATTAACCAATTACTTTCAGTTATATGTAGTCTCTGTACATTGCATAGCCAGACCCTGCAATATATCAGCCTCTTTGTGTGGAATCTTGACATGTTACGGAGATAATGGTGAAAGTCATACCTTCCATTTGTTCATGATAACTTTATATTGTCGTGAGACAGTAGAATGACATCATATTGTCACGAGACAATAGTATGACATGTTGTCACGGGAACAATAGTATGACAAAATATTGTCACAAGACAGTAGTATGACATCATATTGTCACGAGACAGTAGTATGACATCATATTGTCACGAGACTGTAGTATGACATAATATTGTCACAAGACAGTAATATGACATCATATTGTCACGAGACAGTAGTATGACATCATATTGTCACGAGACAATAGTATGACATGTTGTCACGGGACAATAGTATGACATAATATTGTCACAAGACAGTAGTATGACATCATATTGTCACGAGACAGTAGAATGACATCATATTGTCACGAGACAGTAGAATGACATCATATTGTCACGAGACAATAGTATGACATGTTGTCACGGGACAATAGTATGACATAATATTGTCACAAGACAGTAGTATGACATAATATTGTCACGAGACAGTAGTATGACATCATATTGTCACGAGACAGTAGTTTGACACTCTATTGTCACGAGATAGTAGTATGACATCATATTGTCACGAGACTAGTATGACATCATATTGTCACGAGACAGTAGTATGACATCATATTGTCACAAGACAGTAGTATGACATCATGTTGTCACGAGACAGTAGTATGACACTCAATTGTCACGAGATAGTAGTATGACATTCTATTGTCACGAGACAGTAGTATGACATCGTATTGTCGCAGGGCAGTAGTACGGGACAATATGGCATGACAAGACATGGGAAAGTTGTCATTAATATTGCTGTTGATTTTGGAGAATTTGCAGAAAAGTTTGATATTGTCCAGCAGTTTCATCAGCATTCAACTGTGTAAGTCTCGTCATTGTGTGGTGCTTATCGTATGAAGTTATAATAATAATGTTCATGTTGGATTACACTGCTTCAGATTGCCATAAGGCTTGTGTCATGGACTCCTGTAGAGACAAGTGGGTCTCCAAGACCTATGTCACTGATGCCTGGCCCTGTGCCCTGTACTGCCAGTACCAGGTCCTATATTTCAGGTACCAGGTCCTTTATCTTGGATATTGGGTCCTGTGTCGCAGGTACCAGGCACTATATATTGGATATAGGGTCCTATGTCGCAGGTACCATGTCCTATATCTTGGATATTGGGTCCTGTGTTGCAGGTTAAAGGTCCTATATCTTGGATATAAGGTCCTATGTTGCAGGTTAAAGGTCCTTTATCTTGGATATAAGGTCCTATGTTGCAGGTTAAAGGTCCTTTATCTTGGATATAGGGTCCTATATCACAGGTACAAGGTCCTTTAACTTGGATATAGGGTCCTATGTTGCAGGTACAGGGTCCTATATCTTGGATATAAGGTCCTATATCACAGGTAAAAGGTCCTTTATCTTGGATAAAGGGTCCTATATCGCAGGTACCAGGTCCTATATCTTGGATATAAGGTCCTATATTTCAGGTATCAGGTCCTTTATCTTGGATATAGGGTCCTATATCGCAGGTACAAGGTCCTATATCTTGG